AATATATGGAAGCTGCAGCAGCCCCCACAGCTAATGCTCTCTCTGTGTTGCTCATTATCCTTGTTCTGCAACCAAAAACAACATCATTTACATTAACAAGTTTTGTAATGTGAAGCAAACCCGTCTAAAGTTATGCTTTTAACTCTGGTTTCAATTTCGTTTATGCGTCTTTAAAAGTTTCATTATCGTCCTTACGCTTTGACTAAARATTATCAGGCGTGCGTTTCTACTGTTCATGAGTAACCGAAAGTCTCTGATAATAGAGATGTCTAATGAGCCGTAATCAAAGGATAGAGATGATGACRATGATGATTTTACAGCAAAAGAAGTAAAGGGGCAGACGGTCTAGGAACAAAGTTTGGGAGCCAGACCTCGAGTCATTCTGCGTTTCTCCCGGTTGCTGCGAGCCGAAAGCCGAGCTTGACTGGACATGATTCAGCCCCTGATCACAGTGCAGCTGCATTTCTTTTACTTGGTTCAACCAACTTTCCTGAGGTTCAAAGGTAGAGTTCATTGCAATTTGCAAATAGTACATTTAGCCTATTAATTGAACTAATTGCCCAAGGAAAATTTGTATTTAATCTTCCGAGGCGAAACTTGAATTCTCGAGCAAGCAAACATGACCAAACAGAACGATATCGAGCAATATACTTACTAGTTGTTTCTCTTCTTCACCAAGAGCTTTATCCATCTGATCAAACAGTTTTGTCCATCTTTCTTGATGGAGATCAGCAGAGGAAATAATTGAAGTTTCGTCAGATGAACTCTTCGCGACATACGGATCATTCTCGTCGTTAGATGGAAATTCTTTAGATATTAGAAACGGCAACTCTGTAGAGATTACAGCTCGAACTCTCTTTTTACTACGTCGTAGAGCTGCGTAAAGACATATGTTGAGTTCATTCGTAACAGCCAAACAAACAATACAAAAAGAAGAAAGGAAGTTACCTGAAAGACGCCCTTTAATGTCTTGCTGTATTAGTTCCAACCATTGAGAAGCAACAGTAGCAGCTGAATAACGACCACGCAAGCGTCACGACGTAGAGAAATAGGAAATGTTTCGAGACGGTTAAAGACTAATAAGGAATACTAGAGGAACTGACCTTTAAGAGAAAGAGATGAAATACAGGTCAAATTTTCTTCTTCATCATTAGACACTGGACAAGCATTCTCAGACACAGCATGTGATGATGACAGCTCCAGAGCAAGAGCTTCTTTGTCGTTCGTAGCATTCGATTGTGAAGCATAGTTGTTACCAGTGGCCCGATCTAACATGATTTGTCCATGATCGACACCTTCAACTTCCGTGATCAGAGATCTCGTCAAGGAGCACGCTCTTTTTTGCCTGCTGGCAGAAAAATTATTTGAAGGGCCATATCCTTGAGAAGAACCAAATACATTCATGTCTGAATCATTAGTGCTTTCAAGATCCCTTTTGGTGCTTAGTTTAGTCCCATGTCTTTTTTCTGTTAGGAGCTTGTTAGCTAAGCTTTCGTTTTCTTGTTTTTCAGACCTAACAATCGCCTCAATAATCGAATGGACCTGTTTTCTATTTCTTACATGGTTTATGATCCCCGGATTCAGTTCATTAAGCAAACCACTTGGAGCAGCAATCTTCGTGAACCGATCAATCTGCTCTTTCTTTGCAAGCTCCAACTTCTTCTCTCTTTTTGCAATCTCCATCTTTTTCTTTAGTGCATCGTTTTTACTTCTCCTCCCACGTTGCTTTGGCGCCGGTATGCCTCCATGAGAAGATGAAAGAAAGCCATTTTGCTTCATCTCCTTCCAGATTCTTAGCGGATCTTTTTCTCCCAATGGACCCGTAGAGCTAGCACATTCAGAGGAATCCCGTAACTTCAACTCATTGCAGTTCTTGAAAGGGTGAACAATTTCCAGGTTTATAGAGCTAGAAACATCCTCTACATTAAGATCTAAACCAATTCCTCTTGCAGTTACACGAGTGCCATTGTCGTCCCTGAGCCCACGCTGTTTCTGAGAAATGTTAGCCAAATCCATGTTATCAGAACCTGAACTTTTAGCCACACAAACTTCAGTATTAAGATCCAGTGGCCTAAGGGTAGGGCGGACAGCCTCCACAGATGCATTTGCCCCAGCCATTTCGGCCAGAGAGGAGTTAACATCCAATCTTTTAGGCACATCAATTGCACGAGACCTCTCTTCTTCACCAAACCGACATTCGTCACTAGCTTCTTCCATTTTCAAACCATTCCCATGATGAAAACTTATTGCTGCCACACCAATTTGAGAATTAAAAAAACAATCTTGATGGGAAACAGAATAGAACAACACAAAGGGCTATAAAGCCATTCAAAA